AAATTTCACCTGAAGTGGGACAGCCCAGCACACATGAAAGCAGAAGCACAATCAAAATTTAAATCTAAGCGGGTGTTTTTATCTGTGCAAATTCAGTGTCACAGTCAGAGGGGGATGCCAAAGGTCTCTTTAAACAAAATATTTTCCTTTGATTGAGCTTTTTGTTTTTAAAACAGAATCATTCTCCAACCCCCTGCAGATCCCTACAAGGTTCAGAGCTGACAGAAGTAGGTGGGGGTGGTGAAAGGGAGAGCTATATATTTGATTTGTTTGGGTTTTTTTACCTTGCAGAGGAAAATGAACTCCTACAGCAAACTCTTCTATGCCAGAACAGCCATGACACATCACCTCCATCAATGCTGACAACTTGAAATTTGATGTAGACATAATTTTCACATGACAAGAAGGATTTGTTCTCCCTTCTTTTACTCTTCAAATTCTCGTGCATGTCAATATTTGTGTTTCATATGCCCACAAACACATACAGATCGCAGCAGAGATAACTACCTGTACTGTCTTCCACCAAACAAAGAACTAAAATCTCCACCATTGCAACCCTTCTCAATTAGACATGACTTGGATACTGCAGTCTGCAAACAGACAACAGACTACGCTTCCCATTTCAAAATCTAATTTACTTTTAGCAGGACAAGGCAGGCTGATCATTTGTTGCAGACAAAGGGAAATGCTAGAACAAATGAACTGTGTCCTGCTAGAATCAGGCACGTTGTTTCAATTCCTCGGAGTCCAAATTTTGCAGGTCACGTGGAGTGGCAAGCTGCCGCCAAGGCCAAGTCTGCAATGTTTAAAATCCTATTCATTTCATTTTTCCTGTCGTGGCTTTGTGCTGTTAAATACACCCTCGACCTCCAAGTAGTGTTAAAAGAACAGTCATCTCCATTATCTCAATCAATAAGTCTTCATAGTTGATGAGAATAAAAACAGTAAGTGGACCTACCGAAAGTTGACATGGGCTACTTTGCACAAGGCGACCTGTGGGGAAACGTGCCGTAACCCCCGTGGCCCCACTGAGGAGGGGGAGGTATGCTTCAGCACGGATCACCAAACCTGTGTTCAAAATCCCAATGAAAACCAAGCAAGCCATCACCTTAATGTGTACAGCCTAGTATGTATTTTGACCAACTGGCTGGACTGCTGCTTGTGTTGTCTAAAATGAGACTCTAACACACCTTGGAGCTGGTGCAGATTTTCCCCGGCTGACCTCCAATTCCTCTGTGCTATACACACTAAATTGCCCCCACAGCAGCATAAGGACACTCTACCTACTAATAAAACCCAAGGGCTGCAGAAATACATGTTTTGTTTAACTTTGCACACGTGAGACATCTTATTGAGTTCAGTAGCAACATTTAAAAGACTGAACTAACAGCTTTCACACTGGAGCCAGATTAGAATAGCAAGGAGAGAGGAACACCAGCTCTGGGAGATTTAAACTCCTCTAACACAATGAGATAGCGTCTGCTATAATCACGAGATCCGGGGAGCAGGTCACCCACAAAAAATATCTTTCTATACCACTGCTCACGCAACTTAACTAAACTAAACAATAAGCTCCAACGAGACATTCTGGATTTGGCTGCTGGCAAGAACACAAATGAGAAATGCTTCAGTAGCCAGGAAATACGGGCTACTGCTAACACGGCACACACTACTTAAATAAACTGAAGCAGAGCTTCCATATGAAAATGTATTTATTTAGACATCATTTGAGGGCAGTATATGTATTACTGTGAAATAAGATGGATATTGTTTCCACCACGGGAGGATAGAAGGCTTGAATACAGTAAGAGAAGGGGATTCTTTGAAGAAACAGCAGAGGGGAGGGCAGACCACAGTAGTGCCAATGTGCTCTAGGTAGAGACAAGGGCAGTCCCACAGAGGAAGAGGCCACCCTGCTCGGACGTAGACCAGCACACACTTACGTGTGGCTCCTTTCAATAGTTTCCTGCCCATTCAAGAACCGTGCACAAGCAAGAAGATGCAAAACCAGAGCTGATGTGCAACACTGACCAGAAAGAAATTCCTGCTTAAAAAAAAAACAACACCAAAATAAAAACCACTTCAGGAATTTTAAACACTCGTTTTCTTCTTATAGAGCTGTATTACCTTCTTGTCACTAATTAGAGGCCAATGAATATGTACTTCTGAGTTGGAAGGTAGCCTCGTCAGCTGGGACATTTCAAGCGCATATACTCTGGTGTACTCTGGTAGGGATCCCCATTAAAATCATTTGAAGAAAAGCATGTACAAGTTCCTTAATTCAACATGTCATCCCTCTAAGGCCTGGGGACCTCACTTCAACAAGTATTCTGGAGACATTTTTTCAAGGCTGCAATAAGCCAATACAACCAACTGCCGCATTCATAATAGAGCTCTTTCCTATTACCAATTGGCACTGATTTCTGCCCTGTAACAGCCTGTTTAATAGCCAGAACATGATAAATATCACTAATCCTCATTTGTTTTAAATACTGTTTCTGATTGTATTATTTTTCCATCTGGCTTTGATCTTTCTTCTCTTTGTTTCACCATTAGGACCCTGTTTCACTGGGTTTGAGGGTTTTTTTATTTGAAACAGAAGTCCCTTTATTTACCAGCACTTGTCACACAGTCCCTATTCTGATCAAAAAGTACTGTCACTATCACTATCCCCAAATGCAACAAATAATGAACCACTCTCTCTGTCACCAGGTAAGCAAAAAGTTAAATACTTCTGCATGTTCCTAGCAATAAATCAAATATTTCCTGTACAAACTCATTTGCAATGGTGGTACAAACCCAGCAAATACAGTTCTTGAAGGACTATTTACCTAATTATTCTTCTTCACTCAGCAGTGGGGAGGTCTGAAGTAGCAGGAGTATTGGACACCGTATTTTAGGAAGAGTCAGGAAGAAGATGAACAAATGTAACAGATTTAAGGAAACATAATTCATGTGAAGGAACTTGGTTTTATTTAATTTTTTTAAAATTCCTCCCGGGAGGTAACTGACAGATGGGTGGTAACAGTCCTCACATCTGTAAAAGGCTGATTTGAGAAGGAAGTAAATAGTTTTCCTCCATGTCCACTGAAAAGTGAGAGAAATGCTGCCGCTCTGACCTGCACAACTTTCCAGAGACAGGATCATAAAACACACCAATCGAAGTTCCTGTGCAAGCAGTAGGAAACTGGCTGCCAAAGGTTTTTTGCAGACACATTTTGCCACGTTTGGTCCGGGTAAACTTTACACCTTAATGACCTGCCAGCTGACCAGCAACACTCCCTTTCAGGCATGCCTGGCTTCAGTTCTTGACCTACTGCATTGCCTGAAGGGAGGGATGTGGCTGAGGGGCAGACCGGGAAGTTTGTAGATCCTGCATCAAGCAAATAACCATTTCTACAATCCAAAGGCCTTCTGAGGAAAAGGCCAGCATGCGGTGTCAACATGCTGCTGCGATTACTGCACAACTGCCGCAGGGATAGAGCAGTCCTGAAAAACCACTGGCACCCTGGCTTATCGGACCTCAGGCTGAAGGAGGCTTTCGGAGTTCCGCCTAGGATCCCAACCTTGGAACTTACAGTGTGCTGTCATCGCACTGCAGCCATACAGAGCCACCACCTGCGATGCCTCAGCTGCTGTTTGTCACCAAAGTAATTCCCTCCATCTGCTACCACAGTGGTTTTCATGTCTCCTTTTGGGCAAGCATTGTGCTGGCTTGGTTTAAGAGAAGAGCTGTACAGTATCCCAGTCAAAAAAATTCCTCTATTTGAACTTTAAAGATATGCTTACAAGTTTTGCATGCACAAATAATAAGGCATAACTTTTTTACAACTCAGAAGCCAAGATTAGCCTAAGTTCATGGGCAAATACATGTGGCATTTTGATTTGGACCCATCACCAAAGCCTATGGCTAGTCCTGGGGCTTTAGGCAGAGTTCCACTACAAAAATCAAATCAAAACAAAAATAAAATGAAATCATATTAAAGCATATGTAGGCCATTATTATTTCAAAACTTCTGAAATCACTGCAGAGGTACCAAGTACCACAAAGTACAAGATTTAAAAGCATTTACAGTACAACATTTAGACATGTGTTCAATTGGAGGTTAGAGGGCAGAGGAGGAAAGGTGCATATCCAACACCTGACTTCATCTTCTATTATAAATCCACTCCAGTGATTCTGTCCTGCTCATGGCATGTGCGTTCGTAAAAAAATCATAGATACCCGCTGCTTGTAATTCCTATTATTAATAACAACATAAGTAACAGATATTCCTAAGCCACAGTCACAACCCGAGGTGAAACGACATACTGGGGGATGTCAGTATTGGCAGAACCAAACCATTTGGAAAGCTGTAGGTATATAACAGCACTTCTATTGCACTTGTAGACCAGAGGCATTTTTGGAAAATTTCTCCCCCATCCAGAAAGCTGACTTGTGGTTTAAAAATACATTATTGCAGAACATACAAAAACAAAATCAAAGTTTGATTTCAGTGTACATCTCTGAGGACAAAACATTAAGAGAGCAATTCTGGTGATAAACTGGCACTCTGTGAGATATTTATGTACCAAAGAATAGCAACTAAGGCTATTTTAAATATATACCTACAAAAGCCTTTCTTAATAGTCTTAACAACATATAAAGACTGTCACACAGACAAAGCATAAAATGTTTTTAGAACCTCGGAAAACGAATTATTTAATCATTTATATATTATGCTTTCTTTCTCAGAAGCCATATATGATGCATGTGATTATAACATTAGTAGTTGCAGCACAAACTCCCTTTGCATAACTACAACTTTCCAGGTTTAGAAACCTACAGAAGGTGTGTTACAAATCACTGCTGCTTCAAAGAAAAACAATATTTACTTCCTCTGTCTCACCCCCCCCATATGATACTGGAGACCAAGTTTCTGAACAGACTGATTTCTGAGGTAAACAGACATATTTGACATACATACATACACGGATGCACACAAAGAGCCAGTACTTACAGCTAAAGATGCCTGGAGGTGGATGCTCTGTTACAAGCAGACAGTTCTCTTCATCACTGTTATCCCCACAGTCATTCTGTTGGTTACAAATCAATGAACCAAGATACAAGCATTTACCACTGGCGCAGGTGAATTTGCACTCTGAAAGGCAAAGAAGAAACCGAAACAAAAATCTGTGAGGAAACTGTTGCATACCTTCTTCACTGCTAGAATGACCGATATTAGAGGCAATCTTTTTCAAGTAGATGTTAGCATGGTGGACAGGCCTTTGGAACTTTATCCCCCAAATAAATAATCTGGTATTTGTAAGCATTGCACCTATAATATATATGTGACACATTCCAGATAAGCAGATTAATCCACTAGCAAACCAGATTTGCCATTTGGGGAAATTCAACTTTTTCTTAAAAACAGACAATACTTTTTTGTAGTTCACATTGATTACAATTCACTTTGAACAAAGACTGTGTTCTCATACATGTTTGTGTAGCATCCTGCATATCTGGGGCAAGACAGCACTATGAATAAAAGTAATAATTGTTCCACATTAAAAGTCTTGCACAATGTAAAATATCATCAGCTGTAAGGCAACAGTATAGTTTGTAACCAGGAACAATCCTGTCCAGACACAGACAATTATTCCTTAACTACCTTTCCAAAGCCAATTTGCCAGTCTCCCAACTAATTACAATCAAGTACTCAGTCTGCACATTGAACTCCCACATGCCAGTTTGCTTTACAAAGTCAGTGAACTTCTAAAACCTTTATAAAGTGTCTGAACGCTCTAAGCAGGCATGCTGTATTTTGTACATTTGGTTCATTACAAAGAAATGAACGATTTCCACTAAATATGGTTCTGTCATGAGAACAACTCCTATGAGATCAAGCATTTAAACAAAACCTTTGTTACCTCTAGTTCCTTCTTCTCTCCGTTTCTCTGCAAAAGGATGCAGGCTGGCTAACTAATCCTGTGTAAGATCCCTCACTAGATTCATATCTAGCTCTTAAAAAAAAATAAAAACTCAAGAAGAAACTCCTACCTCCTCTCCCACTCAAGTTCTACACCGACAGGAGAGCTATGCAGTTACCCCTTTAGACAGGGATGACATTACCTCCATCACTGGCCTTTTGTTTACTGGTAAAGATTCACTACTAGCTAACCAGCACTAGCTTTTTATGGGAATTATAGTCCAGTGCCTTGTTGTCTTGGATGTTTTTTCTTTAATTTTCAGAGCCCAGTTACACAGGGCTTTAGTCTGACTGACTTGTGTTCTGTCTGAAGCTGTAATACTTCAATATTTAAATAAGGGTTTATGTACTAAGGATGTATACTATGGTTGATAATTAAATTCCATTGCCCTTCTGCTAAACTGATCATTTAAATGTCACTTCCAGAAACAAAGCTTTATAGTAAGTATCTGAGATGTAATTAAGAAATGTTCACAAAAATATTCATGCAATTATAATAAGCTTTCTCACTAGGTTTGTTCCAAAGTTAAATACACTACACATATAGAACAGAAATCATATTATATCTAGACAAATTATAATTTAATGGTTACACTTCCAGCATGTTGACAAATTCTGGTGATTCTTGTTCACAAGCAAAGGTGAAGTAGACAGAATTAAAAACAAGAAACATTCAGAAGTAGTTTATTAAAGTAGCACCGTTCCCTGAACCTTGGGCTTCCCTAAGGGCTGCAGTTTGGGTTGGCTGATTCTGCTTGAGAGAGATGATCATTGGTCCTTCCCAAAAAGATAGCATTTGTTCATTTTCAACAGTATCAACACCAGACTTTCCTTTAATATTAACAGCACTTGGACTTACTCTGAACTGAGACGACAGGACCTATAATTCTAAAAAGCCCCTAAACCAGTTACCGAGGCGTGATACTTACCCACAGGTATCTGATGTGTAACATAAGCACGGTAATAGTGAATGAAGGGAAAAATAAATTGGGAAAGTGAATGAAATAATTTTTCTTATCAAATTTGCTTTGTAGGTAAAAGAGATTTGCGGACTTCACTCCGAAAACTTTTCATCAACGGTATTAATAGCATTTTGGTACATGTACCAGCAAGAATCTGCTGCTGCACAAATATATGCATCAACATGTGCAACATATAAAATGCTACTTAGGAATAGAAATAAAAGCCATAAAACACTATGCAAGAAAAACAAGCATTTCCTGTGGAAAAAATCTATCCTATTCCACTTGGTCAAACGGCACTTAAAAATCAGGGAGTACTTGCCTAAATAAGGTCCTCAAGATTCCAACTTTTTCAGTCCAACCCTATAGTACTTGAACTACTCAAATTGTACAATAAAATACTGTACAAACAAAATATTTTTCCCTGCTCCTTTGTCAGCCTGTCCTTCTCTCCTACAGCAAAGAACTGAAGAGGCATTTAAGGGCTTCGTTTTTCTGTTTTGAGTATAAAAATTTCATAACCAGAGTAAGCCTTTGAAACCTAAGGAACTAAGAAGGTCATTAACAGTTACTTTTGGAAAGGAGAATTAAAAGATCGGTCTCAATATTAGCAATCTGATAATTACAACTAATTCCTGCAACTTCATGAAGTAAGAAACTGAAACAAGAAAAGAACAAAGCTGCCTTGGAAGATTAGAAAAGTTGGCTTGAAAGGGTTCAAACTTTCCAGGATCTTAAATGAGAAATAAAACACAGGGTGAAATTAGAGTGGTAAAGGACATACTGCTTTTATTTGAAAGACAAATATCAAATACCATATTGCTTGAAGTTAGAACTTTTGGTGTGTTACTTTGGCCACAAGATTTAATTCTTTCTTGTGTCTTTGTGTTGAGCCCTGATATAAAGCTTTCCACGCTTCCCCCATGGCTGATAGAAAGTGCTCAAGCGGGATGTCAACTCAAAAGCAATTAAAGCTAAGAACTTTGGGTTTCTATATGCCACCAGATTATACAGTCTTCAGACAAAAGACCAAATGAAGCATTGAATTTTTAGTAGCTCTATTAAAGTCTTAAAGTTCTGTTTTTTAACTATCATTACCATAAAAGGACTAAACAGAGGAAAAAAGTTGTGCTTTAAGGTGGTGGGGTTTTTTTGTCCTAGATAACAGACCACATTGAAATTTGAATTCAAAAACAGACTCAATGAACCTTTCTTGTAAAATTTTATGGCTACTTCCTTCTTCCCTTGGATATGTGAACTATTGTCCAGGTGAATTATTCACCATTATTCACCATTGTCAAGGTGAATAAAAAAAGTCATCAGGTCTTGGCCCCTGCTTATGTGCCCATATTGACTGGAAGGTTGCTCACAATACCGCAGGAATTCTGTGTTGATTTTAAAATGTCCCATGTTGCCAAAATCATCTTGCCAAGAAAGCAGTCATCTCGTACTGGGCCTGGCTGGGATGTAGTTAGTTTTCTTTGTAACAGTCCCTATGGTGCTGTGTTTTGGATGTGTGACCAAAATAGACTTGATAACACACCAGTGTTTTGGCTATTGCTGAGCAGTGCCTGCACAGCATCAAGGCTTTCTTTTTTGCTCACTATGCTACTCCCAGGGAGAAGGCAGGAGGTGGGCAAGAGGCTGGGAGAGGACAGAGCCAGGACAGGTGACCACAACTGACCAAAGGGATTCTCCATGCCATATAACATCATGCTGAGCAACAAAAAAAGGGGGTTGTCTTCCTGTTGCTCAGAGACTGGCTGGACATCAGTCTACTTGTGGGAGGTGATGAGTGACTGCCTTTGCATGACATTTTTCCCCTCTTTCCTTCACTTAACAAACTCTCTTTTTGCTGTTATTCTTCCTATTCTCTTCCCTTCCTGTGGGTTGGTGAGCGAGTGGCTGTGCAGGTGCTTAGCCGCTGGCCAGGATCAATCCACAAGACATGCACATGCAAAAGTAATTTCTAAATCTAACAAAATTTAATAACCAATGGAGGACACAAAAGTGCAAAACTTAGCCTGCAAAATCATTATGCTCTTGAAGTCTGAAGGAAATACTCAAAGGAAAAATGTATGAAAGGGACAAATTAATTAAACAGATTAATCAGTGAAAATACAGATACTTCAGAACACGGAACATACTTACCATCAGGTATTTGTGACTTGTAAACAAAAATTCAGTACCTTAAAGTAGTTTGCATAGTAAATGCATTTAAACAGGGTGTGCTTTTACTAAAACCAGAAGAGAACCCTTCCTTGTAAAGCAAGGTGGATCAAAGTCAGGTTGATGGAGATAGTCAAAAGCAAACATTAGAGTATCCTGAAACTGAAAGTTGGTAAATAAACCTGCAGAGGTCTGTACCAAAATACTAGGAGTGACCTCAAAACACTTCCACAGGGAACTCCAGACCAGTGCAGACTAGACCAATGTGCCTAATGACACACTAGAGAGCCTTTTTCAGTACAAAGTCTTGTACTTGGCTTGTCTAGACAAGAAGAGGGGGAAAAGCTCCCGTTTTGAAAACAAGGCAGCACGATCCTTCTTTCATGAATAATGTTTCAAAGCTAGGCAGCTTTCCTCTTCATTTTCAAGTGGCAATTAGTGAAACATCAGTAGGTTGGTCAGCAAGGCTCTGACTAGAGCTAAACCTGAAGGAAGATGACAGCTACTGAAGGCTGAAAAAAAACAGCCCTTCTTATAATTACGTCTTACTATGTACGTAATTATGTCTGCAGCATAATCTCAAAATTTATCAATATACTGATTCTTCAACATAAACTTTTAATAAACATACTTCCAGGTAGAACTAGACTACCTTGGAAAAAAAGGAATACTAAGAATATTACTATGAACATTTCCCATTTTTATAAACTGTATACAAGTAATATAAATAAGTATATTGCTCACATGTTCAAGGTAGATCCTTGTATGTATAAACTCTTTACATACAAATACCCATTAATATATGAATGCATTTCAAATTGTTAATTGAAGGTTATGTTTCAGCTGCACCAGCAAAAGACTGATTTGCCTCATGATACAAAAAACTCCTCTGATTAGAGTTTTTTATTGTGAAATGCAAGATCTGCTATATGGGGTAGGCTGATTCTACACTTTCAGTGCCTACCCAACAAGATAATTTTATCCTTGCATTCAACTTAATTCTTTTAGACTTCATTTACACTTGACTTCATCCATATGAACAGCATTCCCATTGTTTTGTCATGCCACTTACTGTAGGGCATTTTTAATTATAGCTAAGTGCTGTTTGTTTCTGTAGTGTAAGTCCAACCACAGGCCAAGGAAAAAAAAAAAGCTACAAAGTGTCATATTGAAAAAATATGGTAGTTTAGGCCACTGTTACGATGCATGTCAC